CGTCCCAGCCTGTCCCAGACAGCACTTTCCCTGGCAGGAAACTGGAGCTGGTGGGACCAGGACCACTTCCACTAGACAGCATAGGCCCCATTGCCCTCTCCCAGAGGAAAGAACACTTTATTTGCTCATACAGATGTGTACTTGTTATAAAAAGGACTTGGTCCTGGAAACATTTAGAGAAGCATTCCTTCTCAGGTTTTGTAGCTCACTGATATTCTTTATTTTCTTTTATTAGAGTGTATATATATTTATATGTATATATTGATTGTTGGCTGCTGCAGTGAGGTACATTACACTCATTAAGCTGATAGACTTGAGTGCAGATTTGGCCCAAAGCTCCTTTTTCCAACCTCCTGAGTGGAAGCTTAAAAGAACTTTCAGTTTGATTTTCTTTTATAGGATCGACTTGCCTTGTCCCAGAGGCTGGTGGGGAAATCCCATCTGTGGCCCATGTAATTGTGAGACTAGTAAAGGGTTTGATTCTGACTGCAACAAGACCAATGGAGAATGCCGCTGCAAGGTAAGCAAAAGAAACCAGTCTTATGGCAAAATTTCTTTAGTTTAAAGTGTAGCTATACCACCCATAACTACAACAAGTGGGTGTCTGAGACGAAGTACACACAGTTGTGCTTGGTATCATACACAGATACGTGCACAGCGTAGTTAATCTTTACCTAAAACATTTTGTTGGCACCACCCTTCACAAAATCATACTGTGCAGCTCTTATCTTGTTTGCCTTTGGAAAGCAAAACTGAGAGGATGAAAGCCTGGCTCTGCTCCCTCTGAAGTGCAGCCTGGTTTATCAGGGGAGATCAGACCTGGGCGCAGAGGAGTGCTGGTGGTGTTTTGTGTATCACAAGTGAGTAATAGCCATGAAACAGCTTGGGCCAGCTGGGTGAAGCTCTCCCCTGGGCAATGGCCAGCAGAAGGCCTAGCAGCTGGAGAGAGGTAAATAATACAGGAGGCTAAATGCTTTCCTCAGTGCTTGTTCTGTCGCGTTTATGAGGAATTTGGCGTGGACAGACGGAGGATACGTGAGGGGAGGCGCTTCCCTCCTGAAGGTTTTACAAAGGACTTCTCACAATAGGTTTTACAACAGGCTTGAATGACTTCAGAGAAGCTGGGGCTGTGCAGGCTGGCGGCAGTGAATCTGGCCCCATAGCCCTTTCCAAAATGCCAGCAGGACTCCCAGCAACGGTTGCGTTAGACCGAGTTGGTGGGGTGCCAGCACCATTCCCCTGTGCAGGCATCTAACACCCCAGACTGGAAGCGTTCACAGACGCTATTTGAATACGTGATCGTTGGGTGCTCTCCACCCTGTATGTGAAACACAGGTGGACGGTGCAAGAAGCTTCCTGACTGCCTTGTTCATGCCATGCAAGAGTAGAATTGCAAAGCAGAGAAAACTACAAATCTTCCAAGAATGCGTTTGCTGGGCATTGGTGTCAAGTAGACAAGTAGTGCGGGGTCTCTGCCCCACTGCAAACGCTGGCCCAGACGCCGGGTCCCTGCAGCAGAGGGCAGCCCAGCCATCCCCCGGCGCTCAGCTCTGGCTCTCCCCCCTGCCTGGGCTTACACAGCACCCTTCCCATCCCTATTGCGGTTCCTGTTAATAGCAACATCATTAGTATCCTGTGCTTTGTAAAACCAGCCCTTTTATGATGCACAGTGCTGCTGGCGCAGGGTTTCGTGAGTGCAAGCAGTTTGGAATACAGTCCAAGTAGCCCGTGTCTCTCGGTTTGGTTTTCTAGGCAAATTACTACCGGCCGCAGAGCAGCGACACGTGCTACCCCTGCGACTGCTTCCCCTCCGGCTCCCACACGCG